GACATCCATAAAGAATATATATATATATATATATATATATATATATATATATATATATATATATATATATATATATATATATAAGAACCTAGGATCCACTTATAATTGTGCCTAGTGTCAACACATAGGATTTAGGATTTCCGAGATGACGTCGTTTATTGTTCGCAAGCCAAAGGAAAACACCGCCGCGTTTAATTTTGGCAAAACTTCAAATTTGTGAGAACGACCAATATTCTTCTTCTTCCTCATTGGCATTTGGTGTGTTTATGGGCACTAATATAACTCTGTAGTTGGTCGCTCAATGTCTCCAAAATGATTGAATGAATACTTAATGAATAAATAAAATATAAAAATATTTAACGATCTTCTACCAGACAACCACGTGGCAAATGGCTACCCTCTACCAGGGTGGCAGATATAAGCAAATTTTCCAAAAAGCCAGAGAATCGAATGACTTTCTCTTTATCTAAAAACAAATCTGTGTGTGTGAAAAATCAATCTGTGGCCCTGGCAGAGGGTAGCGATTGGCCGGTGAGCGTCAGTTCCATTTTTAACGCATCAGATAAAATAAAAAAAAATCGGTTATGGTGCGTGAATGGAATGGTCGCGGAGCAGTGTTGATTATCAGGATGAATATAAATTATTAGTTTACTTTTTATGAGTCATTTTTTTTAGATTTCCTGGAAATAAATTTAATCAATCTTTTTATAACCATTCACTTTTCAAATCCAAACCCAATAAAACAAATAAATAACCATTTCATGCATTTTGTCTATTTAAATCAAGCATTATTATTTTGCGTTAGGACAGTCCCAGTTTTGAGATTCGTTTCAGCAAAAATTTTACGTTTTTGTAAGCTCAGCAATTTTAATAAAAACTTGATTGTTTGGCAAGTGCTACCAGTCTTGCAGAAATAAGCAATGCCGTCCTTGATAAACAAGTGTTAAGTGTATATATTTTTTTAGACTTGAAATGAGCCCTATTTATTTTATCAGTTTTCTAGTTTTATACATAAAACAGGGGGGATTGTAAGAGTTTCCTTTAAAAAACTTTTTTCTTGAGGTAAACGGTATTTTTCTCAACCCAACCTATTTTCCCTCTTTATTACTCTCTCCATAACTCTGTAACCATCTGGAAAAAATTTAATTCAAATAATTAAAGGGATGAGAACTCTTCATATGAGATCCAAACTTTACAATGAATACCTTGTAAACTACCCACAGAAATATAATCAATTGTATTTTACCACAAAGACGGCTGTTATCACAATTATTCTGGAATCTGTGCTTGCCATCGAACCACGTGAACTCCATAGATGGCAACCTTCTCATCCTTCTGTTATCTCTTAAGAGATTATGACCAAAAAAAAAAGCAGGGAGTAAGTTTGAAGTTGAAACGGATTCATTAGCCATTGGTTAGTATGGGAAAATTGTTTCTACCCCAGGAAAATCCATTTTTTTTTTTTGCCTAAATGAACTTATTACTTTAATTATTAGACAAGAACAGGATTATCAAACAGGAGGACTGTTGGTTCATCTCAGTCTTTATTGCCAAGCATCACAGACTGGCAATTCACATAAATGATACAAGGCAATTAATTCCGAATTTGAAGAGTCAAACATATTAAAATATCAATTACTATCAAATCCATTTATCACTCACTACCTGGTCATTTTATAACCAAAGTCAAGGCAAGGATTTGTTGAATTATTACAAGCATAACAAATTGCACCCAACATTTTGTTCAAAAGACATATTTTTCATTATGAATTATGAGCAGAAGTACAAAATTGCAACAGAATAATCCTTTTTCACAATATCAGCAAGTCAAGCAGTCAAGATAGAATGGATGAGAAAAAGTTTATTTACACACGTCACTAATACATTTATCTGCTCAAAAAGAAAAAAAAAACTGAACTGAAATCCAAGTTAATATACTTTTTATTAAGGTCCACCGTGATCAGGCAATTACATAGCACATGTTCACACACTGTGTAAAGAATCTCTTCTTAAAGTTGAAAACAGATGTTTGCAAATCATTTAATTGATAAATAACTTTATATGAAATACCACTCTTTGTCTAACCTAATCACATGGGAGACACGTAATTCAAAGAATGCATCTTGGTTAACAGTTTTTTCAACAGTTTCTTTCAAAACGCTGTCAAGACTTTGATATTCGTGGATCCTTTAAATCTTTCTCATGAACCTTTCCCAGTTTTATTTTGGCTTCATCCAGTTTCTTTTTCCTCTGCTTGTCAAAGTATTCTCTCTATAAAGAATAATAAAATGTAATACACAATGAGAACTGGACTGCTTTATAGAAACATATTTGTGATTTGGGGAGAAATAAGTGAAAGAATATTCTTGATGTTCATCACTAGTTTGAAACAAAGGGAAACCAAAAACTCTTTTTAAAACAATTTTACAATTAACCAATCTAAAATAGATAATGTACGTAACAAATTTTATGGAGATGGAGCTTTTACTGTTTTATTTTATAGAGACATTTGTGCCCCAAAATTGATCAATAAACTGTCTTTTCATATTAGAGCTGAAAGTAATCAATGCAGTTTTAAAAACTCTTTGAAAACTGATCTTTGTAAAAGTTTATAAGATTAATGTTTCTAAACTTTTAGAGTAAGCGTGCAATTAGTCAAGCTTTAATTCTTAAGTATTTTTATATTTTAATTGTAAAGTGCACTGTAATGTAAAAAATGGAATGCCCCAAATAAAAAATATATTATTTTTTTTATTATATTATTTTTTATTATATATTATAAACTCTACTTACCCACACTCCTGGACAATTTTCCATGTAGTCTTTTTTTAAATTTTCACATTTACTTCCATCACTGTTTTCATTTAAACAGTTGTGGTAGAGATCTCTTGAATCCCAACATTTCTTCCTCTGTTCTTTGTTCTGTATTGGCATATTTATACTATAAATTGTGTTTACACATACCTGTAAAGATAAGAAGGAACAATTGTAGTGTTTTTGTAGAATATCTTCACCGTATTATCAGACATTATATAGTAAAAAAAACTTGTTTTGCTCCTGGCTGTACCTATTGAAATACACCATATACCAACCACAAGATTTATGTTCGATGCGTTTTGGGTTTGTGAAGGGGGGCATGTAATTGTGTCATGCCACAATAGATATGCCTGGCAAAATACTGGATAACACATGCAGACTCAGAGTGTCTCTAGTTTTAGATGTTGGGCATGGGGTCTGAATATTTTAATTAAAATGGCTACTTGGTATACGATTCATGTGATAAATTGAAAGTATTGTTATCATATAATAAAAAGGCTATGAATAAGGAAACATGAATATTTACAAATACTCACGAAAATTCAGTGATAACATTAGAGGCAAGCTAACCGGTCCTAGTTATCTAACACGTTATGCCTTTAAATAATAAAGGAAGACGACCTGTTAGCTACCCGGAAGATACGACCCAGTCTCGAAATAATAGTTCCTTATTGTAGTATTAAGTATCGAATGGATATGAAATGATGCCATTAAAAACCTTACATCATGGTTTTCAAATTGATGTTGAAATGTACCAAGACAAACTAACATGCTTTTATGACGAATCTTTTTTTATTTTTGCGTAATAATACATGTACACATCGCGCATGCGTGACCAACAACATGGTGGACATGGAGAGATTTCAAAGGAAGCCAGTTTGATCAACTCTTAGAAGCTAAATCTTAACGGTGGTCAAGGAAAAATCAAAGACAAGACGTTACTCCCTATACCAGCATAGAAGATGGATAGTCCTACTGAAGGAAGTTTAGTTTTAGGAACAACAAAAAAACATTGCACTTTGTCAAAGGAGGAGGCCGAATATAGCGGTCATCTTCCTGGAAAAACGAAAGAGAATTCAGGTTTGAATGGCTATATAAAACACTCTTCAGATATGCCATTGCATTCAGAACCAGCAGCCAGAAATGGCACAGAAGATATAAGTGATATTTCAACGGGCCCACATACTTGCATCAGTTGTGGAGCAGGAACAGAAGATTCTCCAGATGTTGAGAAACTATCCAAATCTGAAGGTCACAGTTGCTCAGGGGAACACAGCATCCAATGTTCGTGCACAGACGTTTCCCAACACCTCCAAAGACTCAGTATTGGGGGATTACCTACCCACCAAAGTGCCAATACAGGCAATCAAGTTATTGAAGGAATTCACTATGTTATTTATGAATCTGAGCTCCAGATGCCTGACATTATGAGACTAATAACGAAAGACTTATCAGAGCCTTATTCTATATACACTTACAGATACTTCATTCATAACTGGCCAAAGCTTTGTTTCTTGGTGAGTGTTTGAGTTGGATAAATGTGTTTAGAAAAAACAACCATGTCGCTGTGCTGTAAAGATCAAATCACGTTTCAAGTAACATCATTCATGTGGTAGTTCAATTGACCCTGAACTGGCAGAAAAGGTATACCTCGGTGTCAAAAAATAAACCTTAGGGAAATTTTGGATCTAAGACTTAGAACCAAAATTACCATCTATCTATCTAGAGACATATCTGTGGATATCCAAGAAATCTATCTGTTGCCCTGGTAGAGGGTAATGAAAAGTAGAGGTTGAGATAACTGTAACACTGGCATATGCAATATAAATTCTACTTAATGCCAGGAGAAGGCGTAATAAGCTGATGGGACTTAGCAGGAGTCCTCGCAGAGTTGGGTCAATCCACTTATGCCAGTGTCTATGGGAATGGTCCTTTAGTAACTAATCAGCTTGTAGGGACTATGTTTAAACAGTAAGCAGCTAAGTGAACTTTTTCTATAGTCTGTAATTTGTGTAAGTACTTTGAAACAATTTTTCTTATGCAGGCACTAGATGAAGGGAAGTGCATTGGAGCCATTGTGTGCAAGTTGGACATGCATAAAAAGATGGTTAGAAGAGGTTACATAGCAATGTTAGCTGTAGATCAGGAGTATAGGAGGAAGAAAATAGGTATGATATGGTGTTACCTTTAAAGAAAAGGTTGTGTACCTTATAAACTTTGACTGAACTGTCATGACATTTTTTCTGAAAAGACAAACCTAAAATATATTATGTACAAAGGAATGGATTCCATTGCAAATAAGTACAATTGAATGTGTAAACCCAGATAGATTGTTCACAAAATTATCATCATGATATTGGTCAAAATAGTTGATGTCAGTGCAGAAATTTGGTTTTTGGGTTGTTTTTTACTTTAACTTCCATTGCTGTTGTAGGTTCAAATCTGGTGCTCAAAGCAATCCATGCAATGATGGCAGATGACTGTGATGAGGTGAGTTGAACTTCAGTTAACAACCAGCAGGCTAATTTAAAGCATGTGCTATTGATGGCAAGTGATCTACTATAGACTTTTTATTTTAATTTTATTTCCATTTTAGGGAAGGGGGGGGGGGCATGGCATAGTAATTGACAGAGTTGACATGTTTTTTTTTTTGTTGGTCAACTCGTGGTCTTCATGAATATCATGATTTAAAGCTGTTTGTCATGCAGAAATTTATTGCTTATGTTTTAATTTGCAGGTTGTTTTAGAGACAGAAATAACCAATAAAGCTGCACTACGGCTATACGAAAACCTTGGTTTTGTACGTGACAAAAGACTCTTCCGCTATTATTTAAATGGAGTTGATGCACTACGGCTCAAGTTGTGGCTGAGATGAACTAAAGGGTTTTAAGTCGTCACACTTTTTTGATTTTTAAAAAATCAACTGTCAATTTCATAAATAACAAATAAACTGCTTAAATTGATAATTGATGGATACTGCAAATCATATTTCTTAAATTGGTTTCTGTTATAGGCTTGTGTAATTGTGTGAGAAGTTGAATATAGTTGGCTCTGTAGTGGAATACTTGATGAATTGTCTGTTACATTTTTAAGGCATTTGTTGAATATTTTTGGAAAAAAAGTTTGGTTTAACAGTTGTAAACTGTAGTTACACATTAACTATCATTGTTTTTTTACAAAGAAAAAAATATGACTTAGTATCCTACAATTCCTACCTGAAACCTAGAGTGGTCTTTGTCAACTGTAAGGCAGTTTGTTATTTTAAAAATAACAAACATGATTCTCCTTTCGAGTCTTCCTAATACATTCTTATTGTATTAGTGGTAATGAGGTGGCTGTTTGAATAGATTACCTGTAGCTGTTGGAGACATTTATTAATACAGAGAATCACTTAAAAGATGCATATGAAGTCAAATCTTGGCCACCAAGCTTGCCCAAATGCCATCACATAGTTTTAAATAGCATAACTTGAAGAAATGCCAAAAGGTATGGTCTCATACTCCCAAAAAACCAATATTTGAACAGAAGATATCTGTTTTCTGTTGTTTCCACCAGTCATATGAATATTGGTGCTATTGCCTGCATAGCAGTAATGCATCATACATTAATACATCATTTGGTGTACTTTAATGAACTGGAGGGATGGATAAATAGGTCAAGCTTCTGACCAGAAATTAGAATAAGGTGCAGTTTTCAGGGTATTTTTTGGCTGACTGGGAGATAAAATTGATTTATCTTTTGGCATGTCATCTTAATAAGAATCTAGTAGAAGTGATTGATATGTGTTACAAGGAATCTACATTTGCTTCATATGTAACTTTAATTCTGATAGAATCTATGCAAATATAAGTAAGTGGCATATTCATGTCACCACTTTGAATTCTTCGCAGCTAATGTAAGTCCAATTTTTACATCATTTCCTCAGATTTCCCTAGATTTTTAATATGCTACCAGGGCATAATCAAGGATTCAAAAAACATGACAAAGATAACTGTAGTTACTGCTAGCTTCAATGCCTCTTTTTGCTTCTTTTTAGCCAGACTGATTGGACTACATTGTGCACATTTGCTTTTACAATTACTGCTTCTGAAATAAGTATCAAAAATATTCTGAGTGTGGATGGGATGAAAATAAGTATCATAAAGGAATTTAAAGGATGCATTAGAATCTGTTAATGTATGGCACAATGTTTTTCCTCTTCAGTAAATTGTTTATAACTTTACAGATTTTTAATTTTTTGTCTTGGTTGATGTATTAGCTTCCACTTAACTAAAAGAAACATTCTTGATTTTTTTAGTTCGAAGAAAGATCATTTATAAGTGTGAATCAGTAACAACAAGTTATGTAAAATGCTGTCTGTTAAAATATGAACTTGGATTGACTTTGTGTTCCATCTCCCATGGAGTACTCTCTGATTTTCTGAAGTGTGTGGAAAAAAAAAGAAAAAAAAATGTTTGTTTTATGACAATTTTTAGCATTGTTGTAAACATAATCCAACAACATGTTGAACCCGCGGAAACGCTATTATAGGCAAATAATATAATAATATTATAGTCAAATTAAAGTGAAAAATTACAGATTTTCTTGAAATTTCAAAAGAATGTATGAAAAAATTACTGTGATGTATATAAACCCAACACCAAGGCACAATCAAATGCATTTCGAAAAAAGGTACTGTGGTCCGTTCTCCATTACAGTACTTTGTACAGGTGTCATTAGTCCCATATACTAACCCCAATACTAAACATAACCTGTACTAATCATATGAAACCGTGGACCCATTCTTAGGGCTACCTTTCCTATCACAGCGGTTTCACTGCAAATTCTGTTCACATAAAAAAAGAGAGGAGAGAGAGAGAGCAGATGTCGTTATTTAACAATTCCACCCAAACCTCTAGAATGAGTACATAATAAGAAATTATTTTGAAAAAGAACCTGGAGAAGTTTATCACAACATTCCTTCTTAACATTGATATGGAAAGGACTGAAGAGCAGTTATCTTTCTGCTTTATCTCTTTATTACTGAAATTTCACAGCAGAACGCGAATTAGCCTATGCCCTTGCTATCCAGTTTTACAATGCATTGACGGTGGGCAAATACATGAAAACTTGGCACAAGTCCGTTTAAATTCAAGTTTTTCCTTTTGACCCATCTCTCGAATATCATAAGAGAGGGTAGCATGACCCCTTTCAAAGTAGGGGTAAATGGAGAGAGTCATAGAAAGTTTATATTTGAAGCATGTCGGAGTGAATGCTTCAAGATGTGGTCTCAACTAACGCACTTAAGCTTGTTATATCTGCCGTCTTATAAAAAGAAGCCAATATCTCAAATTCGGTTAGTTTGACTTAATTGCCAATCCCATAGGTGTTAAGCCTTGGCAATAAGGGTGAATGTTTGCTTGTATGGCAATAAATGAACTGTCAGTCATCGTTTACTGTCAGTCAGCAACTGTCAGTCGCGGGGTCGTTTAAACGGTAAACCCAAAATTGTTTCAGTTTGATAGTCGAATTAAATTTCTCTTGCAAAGACATTTTCTACTCATCTATACATCTTACCTTTCTTGTCATAATTCTACCCATTAACCCTCCTTTATAGAAAAAAAACTCATATGTTCGGTTTCTTAGATTAATGCTTATTTAATCCATCTTCCATAGAAACGCTTGCCGTGCATTGAATAGGTGATTATCGATAGAGATATAATACAAACAGAAATACTAGACTTGAAAAGGATTGCTGTGTTTGGAGAAATAAGAGGCGTACTTGCAAAATGCAAACTTAGCCGACTTAACATTGAGCATTTTGTTTCATTGCGCTGGTAGATTTTGTGAGGTCATGTTCATCTACTTTCCGTTCTTCGCAGTGTTTGCATAGCAGGGAGGATTTACATTAAGGTTTAGTAATGTATACGCAGCGACGGCAGAAACAGAGCTTAGAAGTCAATGGCATTCCCACAAGTTTCGTTGGGAAATCATTAACAAATTAGAGCTAAGGCATACGAGAGAAAGAGAGAGAAACTGTGGCAGTAGGCCGTTTGCGTGCGTTTTAGTCGGACGACGGCATGGCGATGCTTTCAAGAGTTGCAATCAACGGATAAATCACATAACAGCGAATTAGAGAACTGGAAATGCCGACCATCTTTGCATGGTCAGAATGTTGCTGTTTAACAACACTATACCGGGAAACAACAGACCAACATCGGACAATTTAAGCATTATGACATCGCTTGGTCGGGGAAACCAGCGCAGTGATTTTGCTGTGGAAAGTTTGTTGAATGAAAACCGTAAGTAGGCTACAAATGATGCTTTTTCCAATGAGTAGGCCTATGTATCACTTTGCGGAATCTCACTCTAAAAAATAAGGATGACAGGGAGCGTTTTTCCGGATACCACCTCTTCTGTTTACGGTTGTATTTAGAAAACAACACTTTTGTTTCTTTGATTATTTTGTGAAGATTGCTATTACAAGTTTAAGGGGTTTGGCAATGTGTATGCCCCCTGCCCCCCCCCTTCTTGTTCAAATGGTTGACCTACAAGGCAGTGCCACTTATTCTAGACCATTTAACGGTGTGATATTTTAGAATGCTTAAAAGGTGTCTAAATGATGTTTTTTTTTTTTACGAAATTAATTATAGGTCACTCTCTATATATTTTCTAGACGTAAGCAGTAAACGAATTTTGAATCTTTACACTAGGTCTAGGGCCTACTACTTTTTTTGTTTTATTGTTAGTACTCTTTATGTATGGTTTATCGATATTTAACACTGGTGTATTCTAGTGAACTGTTTGGGGCGTGGATTATAAAATCACTTAAAATATCAACACTTACGGCATAAGCATTTAAATTGCCTTTAAATCTTCAAACAATTCCTGGGGATTGGGCCTAGGCCTATGGCATAGAATCGCGCAAAAGTAACGCCATTTAATATGTTTTACTTTATGAAGAATGAAAAGACATTAAAAGCACTAAGTTAGAATCAAATGAGTCCCGTTTAGAATGTGCAAAGGGGTTAATTGGCATTAGGCTTTTTTTCTGATGAAAACCCAAAGGGCCTATTGTCCAGGGTCTATAGGGCCTAATTTCTTTCTAGTGAGCCTTCTCCAAATTTTTAAATTAAATTAATCAATTTGCTATAGTTGTCATTTTAATTGATCTAGGGGATAAATAAAGCACAGTTCTTTGGTAATACTTTCGGTTCTTTGAGTTCCATAAACAGTTGCTTGGGAGATTTGTGTAATAAAACCCTGGGTCTTTATTCAAGCAAAGCGTAACTTATAGTTCCACGTCTCATTTATCGTTATCACAAAAGGGTTTCGTACTTACGGCGCAAATGATACAAAAACCGCACAAACAACACCGAGTTTGTCTTCCGCACGGTCTACTTAATCAAACAAACTAAAATGTACCATGCAGAATCACTTTACTTCTCACCACCCGCTCTTTGTGTACAATCACTATGGTAACTTATTGTCCCCATTGAGGCTTTACCGCAGCGCACGTCCTACATTGTACTAAACATCGTACGCATTAAAGTAGGCCTCATGTAAAATATGTGAAAATAAAAATAAAACCAAGATTACGTCCAACGTTACATCTCCATGTCATATCAAATTGGAAATTCGTTTCTATTTGATAATTTGTTGTCAAAATGAGCAGCTATGAAATTTGAGCAAGCGCTATGATATCCGGGTTTCCCTTCCTGCAAGTAGTTCGTGGCCCCATGTGTGATAATCCTTTGAGATAAACAACGTCATATAACGTCAGGATACCTCTGAAAATCTTCAGTGTATGTCCTCTTGTGGGCGTTACTTAGATGTCAGGGGGTTCCTAGAATGGTCACTTTAAAGCTGGGCAGATGAACCTTGTAATGCAGAGTAAGTATGCATTTGAGAATCAGGGGATATTTGACTTTCGACTGAGGTCTCTAAGTTAAACCAAGTTTATCGGGTTCAAGATCGATTATCAGATTACAATATTCCCAGATCAATGATAGCAACAGAGGTGCATTTAGCATTCATTAGGCCAATTAAGGACGACTCCCGTGTGTCAGAAAAGTTACGCTGTTGGAGGGAGTATGTAATGGAGCATTAAATGATGCTTCTTAAGTTATTACTAGTAATATCTCAAGGGATTTGGAATAGACTGCGCCGCTTAATTTAAAATGGTTGCAGTGAATGTATTGGTAGACCTATGGGTTGTAACGTTTTTAAAACTACAGTGACTCACCGTGCAAAAAGCAGCTAGAATAAATATGAAAAGATGTACGTAAAATGATCCACTTCCCAACGTTTTATGCTAATACTGAAGTATTATCTCAGACATGTTTGCTGAGGGGTATGGTAAAAAGTATTTCGTGTGACAGCAATGACCCCCAAACCAAGACCATCACCTCAGTGCAACAGAAATGCCCACACTTCTCACAACCTATATAAGTTTAAAAATGGACTGAGTTATTCTAATGACAATTTTGACATTTAAGGTGACATTTGTAAAGGAAAAAATTATAATTTTGATTAAACTCAATTATAAATTTTGATCTTTGACAGTACTATTTGCTATGACCGCATATTTCTAAAATGCCAAAATGAGTGATGCATTTTAGTGACATGTGCCTCCCTCCCCTACATGTACCTCCAGAAATATGGCTTAGCTAAAGGGCATGGCTGGCTTTGGTCCTTAACTGAATATGAAAGTTGGGAAGACCTTGTAAAAACTTTTGAAAGAGAGAGAAAAGTTTAAGAGTGAGAAGAAATCTTTTTTTACCTCAAAAAATAAAACAGTATACATGTCAATGGATATGCCTATCCTTACAGACTAGAATATGTTGCTGTGAGTGCTTTCAGAAAAGCAGACTAACAGATTCATTTACAGAAAACTAACAAAAATTTGTAAGAAAAAAAGTTGTGGAGTATTGAAACTGTTGAAAATGTGATGCCAGTGATGGTTTTAATGAATATCTGATGATGTCAAAGGATGAATCACTGTCATATTGAAAAATAGCTACAAAAGGGCGTACCACCAAGTGAAGTTATGTTTAAAGATAGCTTCTTCAAATTTGACCATATCTAAATTTTCTGGTATCTGTAAATTAAGGCCATATGCTGGTATCAACAGAGATATGGGAAGAAAAGTTTCAATTGAGTTGATCTCACAGGTTTATGTAGTGCTTCTTTTTATCCAAATTATCCCATGGTATGCACAACATACCTTGGCTTCTATAATGTCGGATGAATAAATCCTTATCACCCCAGAGTGATGAAAAAATGTTGGGATCTAACCAAAGAGGTAGAGTAATTATATCAGGGCTTTGTGTGTTATCATGGAAGTTATATTGAAAAAAAAAAAAAAAAAAAAA